AGCAGCCGATATTTTTGGTGTAGAACCGCGAAAAGCATGAACCAAATAATAATGGTTTAATTAAGAGACTTTTAAGTAGTGCATTAAAATAATAGAAGGCCAACCAAAAATTTGAAGTTTGTTTAATTACCAAAAGTAATAATTATTAGCATTTGATTTATCGAGAGTGTATACTATCAATGAGTGGGTGAAATACGCCTTTGGCCGAGTCGCAGTGATCTGCAATGATTCGCAGCTTTAAAGCATTGTGCTAAAAACACAGTTTACGCAGGGATCTCAGATTGCTTGGTAAATGACCCTTTGAACTTGTGCTACCGGTCCAATGTGCTAGTGCCAAATCATCAAAACCATTTCAGGGTCCGTTTAAGTTAGCACAGCTAGACACCGCAGGCTACTCCACTCTGCGAAGGCTTTTTGTGTTTTATACACACACAAAAATCTGCCGAAACGTCATGAGTTTCATGACTCCCGTGGCCGTACTAGTGTGCTAAAGACAATTATTGCACTCACTATATGTCTCTAAACTAACATGTATATTCTCCATTACACTCTACTACAGCACAGAATAACGGAGTTGAGCAAGTTGACAGGTGTTCGTTCGGAAGAAACAAGGCGTATATACAGGGAGGCGAAAAAAAAAGCCAAGACATCACCTAAACATGCAACAACTAGACCAACAAAAGTTCCTGCTAGAAGTCAATTCCCCTGTTGAAGTAAGAGCATGTGTCGTGCCTTGATGTCTCTCTAGTGTTAGCTTTTGTGCACCCTGTACCTGCAACGTCAGTACAATATACAAAAAGTAAGTATGTGGCGAATCAACACGGGTATTTTCCTTGTTAACGACAAAAGACATTTTCTCCACCTAATTTCACTTATTGCAGGCTTTAGTGCGTGAAAATTTGCACGTTTAACAGCTTCGTTTGTCACGGAAGTCATGGACGGCGCAGCGTGTGCCACTCACCTTGTGGTTCCCCCTGCTCTTCCCTCCTGTGCAACGGCGCGCTGCTATCTGTATATAAGTGAGTGTTACATTAGGTTTCCTAATCATACACTCAAGTATAACGTGAGAGACAATACCCTGCTCTGCAAGCTGTTTTACGATGATGCCAACGAAACCGTTCGAAACGTAAATCGTCCTGCGAAAACACTCGTGTAACCTACTTAGTTTTGTCACCAACGTACCACCGTGCTAGAACACAATAACACTCACTTAGTTTGCCGTGGCTTCGCTTTGTGAAGTGCCACAAGGTAGAAATAAAAGGACAACCCTCCAAGTTCCTGCTGGGCTCCGAATAAAAAAAATGCATACCTATGTATTCGTGTATACATACACGAATACATGGAACGCGCACACGACATTGTAGTTTGTATGGTCAAGCTCACCTCTAAAAAATGGTTAAAAAAACAGTTGTCCACAACTTTGAGTACTTGGTACTATACAGGGAAGCTGAAAGCCGTCTCTTGGTTCCAGATGGGCTAACGCAGCAATTACCCACTCAGGTGGAACGTTTCGCGCGACACTGCTGTTTCACACTGCCCGTTTGAAACTTTGTTTTTGATATCGGCACAAAAACTTGAGGCCCGAGGACAGCTCAGGTATTTATTATGGACGTCGACACGTGCTGTAAGAGGGCACTCTCTCATCCTGAGAAAAGTCGATTCATCGTTTAGGTACCCCGGTTAGACACCAACTGTAAGACCTCCACAAAGGCCAACTTTTTGAAAATTTATGCTTTAAAATAATTTTCTTTGCAGGCGTACAAGAAAGAAAGAGTTTGTCCTATTGAAGCGCCATGCCGTACTTTACAAGTCATTTTGCGATAATACGAATGCGCGCTATGACTCCTGCTTGCTACCGACACAGTGCAATACTTGTAAAAGCGTTTAAGCGCAAACTGATTTTTAAGAAACTTTTTGTAAAGGAACAATAACATCTGGGGCTTAAGGTCCCGGAACCATCATAAGATTATGAGAGCCACCGTTGTAAAAGGCTTCGTAACTTCGGATCGTCTAGTGTTCTTTAACCCTTTGTGCCCAAAATTATGTTTCGATAAACAACACCAAGAAAACTCTGCATGGTATGCATAAGGAAACTATGAAATATGTCAAACACGTCTTCAGAAAAAAAATGATTATGTATAGGTGAGTAATGAGTTGCTGCTCATGAGCAACATTGGGTACATATGGTAATACTTCACACGGAATGCCTTGCAGCAGTAGCGGCCTGGAATAGGGTGTAGATGCACGCACCATCCAAGACTGAGGTTTAAATGTACACATCCTAAAGTTTGGTTTAAACCTGCACTGCGGTACTGGGCTTGAATCGGATAGCTTTGAAAAAAACAACATTACAAAGATAGAAAACATGAGGTATATTGTCGTTTTATATAATGAAAACATTTTTTTAGATTTATAATCGTGTAAATAAAAAAGGCCACCGAACGACGCAGACATTTTTGTAAAAATAAAGTTTTTTATTTTTCCTATGCTGGACTGATCGGCAAGTTCTGGGAGTGACGCCGACAAGAAAGGACGAAATTAGCGCTAACCGGTTTCTAACAATCTCTTCCACACTTAAAACATCGAATTTAACAGCTCCACACGCTGAAAATTACTACAATCACGTCTTCCTATTTTTGTTTTGTACTTCCATATATACCCAATGTTGCTCGTGAGCAACAACCCATTTTGTAATAAAGGTTTCTGGGATGTAACATGTGACCACACTAATAAGCGGGCTCATAAACGTTCTGCAATGTCTTCTGAGTCACTTTAGGTATAACAGGTGTCGCAGTAGCATCCTGTTTTCACTGTAGTCGAATAAATTTGCTACCTTGTGTGGAGATTTTTTCACCACCTTTCAGATGCTGAAACAAAAACAACACAAAACGCGATACATTTTAATTTACGCTTTTTTAAAGCTCGAGACGGTCGGTAGTGTTTTTTTCATTACCACATATAGTGCCAGAAGGGTAACGCAGCAGGGTGCCTTTGCTGAAAAAAAAATATTTTTGGGGCGAAGCTCCTCATAGCGGCACCCGTTCATCCCTCGTAGTCGTAGTAGTAGTCGTATTGTGTAACCAGTCTTACATTTTGACCTCCAAGGTGGTGCCGGTGAGATATTTCTTCTGTGCGTTGTCGAACAATAAAAAATTCGCAGCGTGCGCGTTAACTAATAGCCGAATTATCCTGTCTGTCATTGCCCCTTAGCAGCCATTGGCATGTACATTGAGCACTATCTGGCAAGAAAGGGTTGCTGCATTATACTCGCTCGGCATAACCTCCTTGGTTTTAGAAAGGTTTAGCGAGCGTTGGACCGCAGTGCCATGAATACAGTGAACTATAGTATATACCATGAACTCGAGATGGTTAAAGGTGGGAAGTAGACACGAAGCGCAAGCCGTAAGAAAGTATGCGTGTGTCACCTCTCGTTTAGTCCTTGGAACGTCCGCTGGATGGCAATGCATATGCGGAATATATGATGAAAAGATGCGAGATGGTGGAACTTGGAGTGTTGAATAGATGGACGAACGGACACACAGACAGGTGCGTGGACGGACTCACGGATGGCTGCAACTACGGATGGACGCATGAACGGACGCAGGGGCGGATGCACGGACGAACGCAGGGACGGACGCACAGATGTACGGGCGGACGCACGAACAGACGAACGCATGGACGGGTGAAGGGACGCACGGACGGTCACACAGACGGACGCATGGACGGACGGATGCTTCGCCCCACTCTCTTTCATTCACTCCGTGGATATGCTGCCATTTTTTATGGATGTTGCCGTAGAGCAACAGCGGGCATCAAAGAATTAACGCGCGCTGACATCACACAGCGCACGCGCCTCTACCATTTCGAATCCGTCGAATAAGAACCACCACGCTAAAGGAGCTTTTGTAATTGAGGTGAATTATTTATTTCTACTATTAGTAAATTGCTTCTCAGTTATTTCAGTATTCCCCACGTGGAAGTCAATTTGGCTATATACTGCACGTAACTACCCAATGCCCAATGGATATGACTAAATAACAGTGCGAGTTTGGTGCGTCTTCATTTGCAGGTATATACTTTCATATAAACTAGTAGACACAGACATGCCAATATACTGGCTAGAATATGGTCATTGCAGCTCTAAATGTTAATAGATATAAGAGCCATAAAGTGACGAGCTTTTTCGCTATCACTGTCAAGTTTTGTTTTTGTTTTGCCGAAATGAAAGCTTTGGGAACGCAAGAAACTAAAATGTCTTATGTTTCTCAGTCCTAACTCTTGTGGATCATGAGGATTTGTGCATTTATGTTGAATATTCTATATCAGAGGCTTTCGAAACGCACAGTAATGATGGTCACATCGGAAACGTTATGTATCGTATGAGTGTCGAGAAATGCCTTGAATACAAATCGCCGGGCGTTGAGGTAATCTAGGAACGCATACGTCTAGAAGTAGCTTGTATACAACTGGCTGGTCGTTGAGGTAATCTATGAAAGCATACGTCTAGAAATAGCTTGAATGCAACTGGCTGGACATTGACGTAATGTATGAAAGTATATGTTTATAAATATCTTGTATATAACTGACTGGACGTTGACGTAGTCTATGAACGTATACGTGTAGAAATAGCTTGAATAGAGCTGACAAAGTTTTGGTAATTTATGAACGCATACGTCTAGGAATAGCTTGTACACAACTCGCTCGGCATTGAGGTCATCTATGAGAGTATACGCTTATAAATAGCTCGAATACAAATGGCTAAACGTTTGAGTAACATATGAACGTATACGTCTATAAATGGCTTGTATACAACTGGCTGAACCTTAAGGTAATCTATGAAAGTATAGATTTATAAATAACTGAAGTACAGCTAGCTGCACAAAGTATACGTTTAGAAATAGCTCGAATAGAACTGACTGGACGTTTAGGTAATCTACGAACATATACGTCTAAAATAAGCTGTATAGAACTGGCAGCGAAAATTCAAGATTTGGTATTACCTCACGATACCATGTTTTTCCACTGCCTGGCCTCCAGTCTGCTTCTTGGCTGCCTTGACAATAAAGCTAGCCATCAGTACGGTGCACTGTGTTTTTAGCTTACTCTTTCCTGATTTCACCGATTCATAGAAGCTGAACCAAAAAGTTATGACTAGATGCAGGTGCGTAGACCTGTGCTACCCTGGTGTTGAATTTTTATAATTATTCACGATGCATGGCACGTCTAACTAAAGCTATAGTAAATTTAGGGCAGCAGATGAGGTTAACTAGTTTCTTGGTATCACGTGGGCGCAGCTAGTACAGGACCTGGTTGATTGGCGGAACATGAAGAAGAAGCCTCTGCCTTGCAGATGGCGACGTCAGGGTGATGATGATGATTATGATGAGGATACTTACGCGATCGTTTCGAAGATTCACCGGCTCTGCTGCCGGCCGAGCTTGTCGCTGTAGGCAGCGCGCCCGACGTAGCGGAGGAGGACCCCACCGTCGTCGATCGCGCTGCTGAAATAAGACCATGGCAAAGCTGAGGTGTTATTACGAAACAGTCGACTAAGGTGTGTGGCTGCAGTTTATGTAAGCGTTGCTTCTTTCACAAGAAGACTGGTTCGTACTCTGAATTTCGCTCATAACAGATGACAATAGAAAGAAGACATACGCCAAGTCTTTCGCATCCAGTGTCCTTGCTCTTAGACATCTGAGATATGATACTGTTTCTGGCTGACATCCTTATAGTCTTCCTTGTTGCCCCAGACTGCGCACTTGTTCCCAAATATCTGACGTCGTATCGCCTCTATCGTGTTGCTCTTTTTTTGTTTGCTCTTACAAAGCCTTTTTGCTTTTAAGTCTATGAGAGTGACAGTTAGTGGTGCTGCTACTCTCTATAAGGCTAACAGTCTTATAATGGTATATAGAATAAGATTTAAGGAACCATACTGACGAAGCTTTTCGACACTCATGAGACAAGCTATAGCAGAAGTCAAGCAACAGGACGGTAAGATATCGCTGCTAAAGAATTGCGGAATAGCGCGTAGTGGCTCAGTTCCTAGAAGGCACGTCTGAACAAAAAAAAAAGAACAAAGCTCAAAAGTTCGGTCACACATCGACGGATGAAATGAGAAATCTTTGAACAGGAAAGGTCACTGCAGCCAATGTTTTTACAGAAAAACTTGACATCCACCGTGGCCTAGTGCTGCTGGTGCATGCTCTATAGGTAGAAAGTAGCTAGATGAAACGCCGGCAGTGGCGGCCGCATTTGCAGCGCAGAGTAGAATGCTTGAGGCTGGTGATTTAGGTGTAGAATAAAGAAACCCAAATGGTCCAAATTTCTGGAGCCCTCTGCTACAGCAACCACCATAATTATGCCATGGTGTTGAAACGTAAAACCCTAATAATTTTATCAGACGACTCGCCTTCGTGACGGCTTTCAAAAAGTGTAGTCATTGTATATGGCTCCAGTGGCGTTTTCCGATCCACAATTTCTCATAACTGATGCGCTGCTTACAGAAGTCGTTTCATGTTGTATAGGTTTAATTGAGCACATGAGCGGCAGAAAACCAAGAGAAATTTGGACTGGACAGCGTCACAAGTTCGATAATAAACGCCTTTATGTCGTGTTGACTCTTAGCTCAGCGATAATAATAACAAGTTCGATAATAAACGCCTTTATGTCGTGTTGACTCTAGGAGGCCTGGGGTGCGGCCTCACCGGCAAACACCGCCGAGAACGCACTCCCTCACCAGAGAAGGATTGGCCACCCTGGTGCAGTATCTGGCCACTACCTCCCACATGCTTACGTCAAATAACTCACGGCCCTCAGTCCCCAGCAGCTGCGAAGCAACTGACCACGGCGGCGGTCAGATCTGCAACGCAGCAGAGGGTGCTAAGAATCTCTGGATCCGGACAGGCCGCCATTGGAACCTGAACTTGGCAACGTTTAACGCTAGAACCTTATCTAGTGAGGGAAGTCTAGCTGTACTATTCGAGGAGCTAGAGGGTGTTAAATGGGATATAATAGGGCTCAGTGAGGTTAGGAGGACAGATGAGGCCTATACGGTGCTACAGAATGGGCACGTCCTTTGCTACAGGGGCTTGGCAGACAGAAGAGAACTGGGAGTGGGGTTTCTAATTCACAGAAACATAGCTGGCAACATAGAGGAATACTATAGAATTAATGAAAGGGTGGCAGGTATCGTAATTAAACTGAATAAAAGATACAAAATGAAGGTAGTACAGGCTTACGCGCCTACATCCAGCCACGATGACGCTTCAGTTGAAAGCTTCTATGAAGACGTGGAATCGGCAATGAGTAAGGTAAAAACACAGTATACTATGGTGATGGGCGACTTTAATGCAAAGGTAGGGAAGAAGCAGGCTGGAGACCAGGCAGTAGGAGATTATGGCATCGGTACTAGAAACGCCAGAGGAGAGCTACTAGTAGAATTCGCAGAACGCAATAATTTACGGATTTTGAATACCTTCTACTGAAAACGAGAAAACCGCAAGTGGACATGGAGGAGCCCTAATGGCGAAAATAAGAACGAAATAGACTTTATAATGAGTGCACACCCTGGAATCGTTAAGGATGTGGAAGTGATTGGCAAGGTACGATGCAGTGACCATAGAATGGTACGGTCTCGAATTCGCCTAGACTTGAAGAAGGAACGACAGAAACTGATACGCAAGAAGCCAATCAATCAGCTAGCACTGAGAGGGAAAGTACAGGAATTCAGAGTGTCGCTGCAGAACAGGTATTCGGCTCTTAGTGAGGAAACCAACCTTAGCGTAGATACAATGAATGATAATCTGACGAGTATCATTACGGAGTGTGCAGTGGAAGTTGGAGGCCGGGTAGTTAGACAGGACACTGGCAAGCTTTCCCAAGAAACGAAGAACCTAATTAAGAAGCGTCAAATCATGAAAGTGTCAAGTACAACAGACAAAATAGAGCTGGCAGAGCTTTCGAAGTTGATTAATAGACGTAAGGTATGCGATGTAAGAAGGTATAACATGGAGAGGATTGAACACGCTCTGAAAAACGGAGGAAGTGTCAAAGCATTGAAGAGGAAACTTGGGATAGGCAAAAGTAGGATGTATGCACTAAGGGACAAAGAAGGCAAAATAACTACCAATATGGATAGGATAGTTAAAATAGCGGAGGAGTTTTACAGAGATCTGTACAGTAGCCGAGACAACCACGACCTTAATACTATAAGAACTAGCAGTAACCCAGATTACACCCCACCAGTAATGATAGAAGAAGTCAGAAAAGCTTTGGAGAGCATGCAAAGGGGCAAAGCTGCTGGTGAGGATCAGGTAACATCAGATTTGCTGAAAGATGGAGGACAGATTGTGTTAGAAAAACTAGCCACCCTGTTTACGAGGTGTCTCCTGACGGGAAGAGTACCAGAGTCTTGGAAGAACGCTAACATCATCTTAATACATAAGAAAGGAGATGACAAGGACTTGAAGAATTACAGGCCGATCAGCTTGCTCTCTGTAGTATACAAGCTATTTACAAAGGTAATTGCTAACAGAGTAAAGAAAACATTAGAATTCAATCAACCAAGGGAACAAGCAGGATTTCGAACAGGCTACTCAACAATTGACCACATTCATACTATCAATCAGGTAATAGAGAAATGCTCAGAGTATAACCAACCACTATACATAGCCTTCATAGATTACGAGAAGGCGTTTGATTCAGTAGAAATATCAGCCGTCATGCAAACACTGCGGAATCAGGGCGTAGATGAAGTATATATAAACATTCTGGAAGAAATCTACAGGGGATCAACTGCTACCATAGTGCTTCATAAAGAAAGCAACAGAATACCAATCAAGAAGGGTGTAAGGCAGGGGGACACAATTTCCCCAATGCTATTTACCGCGTGCTTACACGAGGTTTTCAGAAGCCTAGAATGGGAGCAGTTAGGGATAAGAGTCAGTGGAGAATACCTTAGTAACCTGCGCTTCGCCGATGACATTGCATTGCTGAGTAACTCGGGGGACGAATTGCAACTCATGATTACGGAGTTAGACAAGGAGAGCAGAAAGGTGGGTCTTAAAATTAATCTGCAGAAAACGAAAGTAATGTACAACAACCTCGGCAAGGAGCAGCGCTTCGAGATAGGTAATAGTGCACTTGAAGTTGTAAAAGACTATGTCTACTTAGGGCAGGTAATAACCGCAGAGCCGAACCACGAGATTGAAGTAACTAGAAGAATAAGAATGGGGTGGAGCACATTCGGCAAGCACTCTCAAATTATGACAGGTAGATTGCCACTATCCCTCAAGAGGAAGGTATATAACAGCTGTATCTTGCCGGTACTTAGCTACGGAGCAGAAACCTGGAGACTTACAAAGAGGGTTCAGCTTAAATTGAGGACGACGCAGCGAGCAATGGAAAGAAAAATGGTAGGTGTAACCTTAAGAGACAAGAAGAGAGCAGAGTGGATTAGGGAACAAACGGGGGTTAAGGATATCATAGCTGAAATCAAGATGAAGAAATGGACATGGGCAGGGCATGTAGCGCGTAGACAGGATAACCGCTGGTCATTAAGGGTAACTGACTGGATTCCCAGAGAAGGGAAGCGGGTTAGGGGGAGACAGAAGGTTAGGTGGGCAGATGAGATTAAGAAGTTTGCGGGTATAAATTGGCAGCAGCAAGCACAGGACCGGGTTAACTGGCGGAACATGGGAGAGGCCTTTGTCCTGCAGTGGACGTAGTCAGGCTGATGATGATGATGATGACTCTTAGCTCAAAAAAGGGCAGACCTCCGCTAATGAACTGTCGTCGTAAATCAACGTAAGGCTACTTGCGCATGACGGTGCTTGGGAAACAGGCTTGAGATCGTGTAGAGCAGTGCTACTGGGGTGGATGAACAGCCGTGATGACCCTGGCTCACGGCGCTGGAATTGAGAGCGGCCAGGAATGCAGTGTGAGACGTCGTTGTTGTTGTTGTTGCCCCTTCGCACTGGCACATACCCACTATGGGGGATTGGCCATGAAATCTAGAAGTATCCTATATGAGATATATTAAAAGGTTTATCCTTAATGAAAAAAACTAATGATGTA